CCGCAGGGCTGGGGGGGGCAGGGAGTGACAAGGAGCCCACGGTCCCGCTCGGCTCAGCCTCGCCGCCAGCACCCAGGTATGGAGCCGACTGGGGCGCGCTGGGACCCCGGGGTGCCCACGTGTGGGTGTGGATGGGGGGCACTGAGCCTCGGGGAGCCCTGTGGGGACTGTGCTCTGCTCTGGTGAGGCCACACCTGGAGTACTGTGTCCAGTTTGGGGCACCTCAGTACGAGAGAGATCTGGAGGGGCTGGAGCGAGGGCAGAGGAGGGCAACGCGGCTGGGGAAGGGCCTGGGGAATAAATCCTGTGGGGAGCCAGTGAAGGAGCTGGGAATGTTCAGTGTGAGGAGGAGGAGGCTGAGGGGAGCCCTCGTCACTCTGCAGCTCCTGAAAGGACATTGCAGAGAGGCTGGGGCTGGGCTCTGCTCACGGGGAATTAGTGACAGAACAAGAGGGAACGGCTTTAAACTGCAACAGGGAAGGTTTAGGCTGGACATTAGGAAAAAAATTTTCACAGCAAGAGTGGTCAGAGAGTGGAATGGGCTGCCCAGGGAGGGGCTGGAGTCCCCATCCCTGAGTGTGTTTAAGGGTCGTTTGGATGAGATTCTGCGGTTTGTGGTGTAGGGGAGAATTTTGTAGAGTCAGGATGAGGGTTGGACTTGGTGATCCCGAGGGTCTTTTCCAACCTGAATGATTCTGTGATTCTGAGATTCTGTGACTGTGGGTGAAGATTCTCACCCCCGTTGCGTGCTCAGGGCTCACAGCACCTGCGATCGCCACGCATGGACCTGTGCCATGTCCCCACCACTCGGGAGAAGGGCTGGTACCTGGCGCTGATGGCGCCCAATGTCAAGGGTCCCAACTACGCCTGGCTGGACCCCTCCCGGCTCTACTGCCACCCGCAAGTACCCAGCGCCCGGGGTGGATGGCACCTGTGGGGGTGCCGGGGTGGGCTGCAGCTCCGTGGGGCTGCCGGGGCACCCAGCCATGCCCATGGGCACTGTCACACAGGCTGCAGGTGCCCATGATGGGCTGCGGGCACCCAGCACCTCCACTTTCTCCCCAGGGCTTGCAGGACTGCGTGGCCGACCTGCTGCAGCCCTTCCAGGGGGACTCCATCGACATGGTGGCCGGCATCGACGCTATGGGCTTCATCCTGGGTGAGCGGGGACACGGGTGAGCCCAGGGTCCCCGTCCCTTGTCCGCACAGGGCTTGATGGTGCCGTGCCCACCCCCAGGCGCTGCCGCCGCCACCGTGCTGGGGAAAGGCTTCCTGGCCATCCGCAAAGCCGGGCACCTTTGCGTGCAGACGCTGACGCAGCCCTACACCGACTACTCGGGCCGAGAGAAGGTGATGGAGGTCCGCACTGATGCCATCTCGCCAGGTGAGCTGGCGGGGTGCTCTCATTTTGGGGAGGGGGGGGCTGCCAGCACAAGGCACTGGGCACCGGGCACTCAGCCACAGCCTCTGCCCCCTCCCAGGTCTGCGCATCCTCCTCGTGGACCAGTGGGTTGAAACTGGGGGCACCATGCGAGCGGCCGTACAGCTGGTGGAGCGGCTGCGGGGGGTTGTGGCAGGTAGGAGGCCGGCACCAGGACACCCCGAGGTACACCCATGGGTGCAGTGGGAGACCAGCATCCCCACACCCCACCGTGGCTGGTGCTGAGCCCCTCCTGTGTCCCCACAGGCATCGCCGCCATCTGCATCGAGGACAGCGAGGGCGGGCGCTGGATCCAGGAGCGCTACAAGTGCTCCCACTGCGTCCCCCCCCGCCTGCAGCCCCGCTTAGACCGTCACCAGTTCGGCTGGGACTGATGGGGGGCTGGCTCCTCGCCTGTCCCCTGCATCCCCCCGTGGGGCACAGGGCTGCTGGCTCATCAGGGCACGGATGCCCAGGGAGTCCACTGCCCGGTTTGGCTTTCACTGTACCCGAGATGATAACCCCTCCTCGGTGGCAGCCATCCTCCCCTGGCTCCAGCCTCCTGCCTGCCCATGAGCCTGGGGGCTGCACCAGTCCCATACCTTTCTTAAAAAGCATAAAAAAGGTTTTATTAAGACAAATGGGAGCCCGGGAGCATCACCCCCTGAGAGTGGTACCCGGGTTTGCATAGCTAAGGGAGCCACACGGGCACTCCCGCCCGCCCTGGCTGTGGGTGCCTGGGC